CATGAGCGGGTTCGCCGAGCGAGACTCTGGCACACGGAATCGCTCGACACTCACTTGTGCCTTCCCCGGGTGCAGCCTTTCGGTTCGTGAAGGGTCGGTGCGAGTCGTGCTTTCCTCGATCCCCCGCCCTCCCCCACCATCTCCGCCGCTTTGGCTCTCCAGCCTCACCACCGGGAGGCGGCGAGGCGAAATCAGACTCGGTCGAGAGACCCCAGATTGGCATCCATGCCTCTCTGGACAGGGTGGCCCGCCACAACGACCCCTGGAATTGCGACTCGCCGCTTTCCTCCCGCTGTGATCCTGTGTGAGCTCTGTGTCTTGATTTGCCAACAACACACCTAAAACTTGTGAGCACGGTCGCACACAAAAAAGACCTAAACGTGCACAACACTGGGCACGTAACACTGCTCAACACCTAAATATTCACAACACTGCCAGTGACGCTGGGCACGTGACACTGGGCACGTGACTTGCGCAACGGCACCGACTCAGGCACACCAAGCGCCTGTGCGATCTCAGCGTGATCTCGGTGATCTCCGTCAGATCTCGGACCGGGGAGACGCGGGGGAGGGAGCGATAGCGAGGGGGAAGGAGAGAGAGGGTGCGGACGTGCGAGGCACCTCCGCATCCTCAGCTTGAGCCCAACAATCGGACGGTCTCACCTAATGCAGCAGAGGGAAGGCGATGTGGATTATGGTCGCGTGCTGCGGGGAGCCGAGGGATTCGGGGGTGATCTAACTAACGGCTTGCGTCGGCGCGCCCACTGGCGGCCTCCGAGCGCTCTCGCGTCGGGCGCGGCACGAGGCACGCAACTTGGTCGGCGCGCACGACGACGGTGGGCACTTTCGCGTCGGGCGCGGCACAATGCACGCCGACAGGTCGGCGCGCACCGTTGCGGCCTCAGGACGCAACCAGGCCGACCGTGGCTCAGCGACCGAGGTCACAGCCAGGCCAACCGTGAACTCAGCAACCAAAGGTGGACGCAGCCAGGCCGACCGTGGCTCAGCGACCGAGGTCACACATCAGCCAGGCCGAGAACCTCGATCACATGAACACGCGCTCGAGAGCCCCAGCTGATCTTATTACATGCACATGCAACCGCTCTTTACATGCGTCAGCAA